TTTGTATGTAGAAAATGTTAACCAAACTGAGAAACGCAAGCCCTTCCGTTATTACCTTCATACAAGAAATCAATTGGGAATAAATTTGGTGCAAAACTTATGCAAATCTCAACAGTTTGGAGCATGGATCTCTTAATAAGAAAAAGCTTTGTACAATTTTGATTGTTGCTTTTCAGAATATGTTAAAGATCTCTTTAGTTTTAAGTTTTGAAGATAATCACTAGCTATTGTTTTGAATTCCCCGAGTACAAAAATATTAATTTTGGTAGCAGACATTTTGCGCCTTAGTGATGGGTCAACCAGACATTGCTTTATTTAAACAGTGGGCAGGTGTAATTATGACCAGCCATTGGTCTGTCATCAGAGTGTCGGGCTTCAGAAATGCTGAATGAAGCCAGTGCTTGTACTTGCGCCCTCACAACCCACTGCTCACTGCTTTGCCCCTTGCATACTTAAATATTTCACTCGCTCACAGACTTTTGAGCAAAAGAGAGAATGCTTGCAGTCTAACAGAAGAATGACCAGTTACCATGCACACACAGGGGCTGCACGTCTCATTTTCATGTAATTTTAGGATCACATATCTCATCAAACCGGTTTGAAGCTGATTTGGTTGTTTGTTTTCATTGACGCTGACAGCTGGAAAAAATTCAAACAAAGCTTCTTCCTCGAGCAATGTTGATTCAGTTGTTGGATGTTCACATATTTCGAACTTTAGCCAGACTTCTAAAAGAAAACAAGGTCTTTCCGAATTATATTGTTTGTTATGAACATCAAAACTGGTTTTCAATCTCATGTGGTGAAGTTCCTCGATGAAGCAAATCAAGTTAGCTGTGACATCGTTAATTCCCTGGGGATGTGGGAGTAACCAATCGGTGACGCAGTTCAGATCCTGAACTGATTTCTCAGATGGAAATGAGGTTACTTGCTTGTGTGACCAGAGGCCTGTCTAGGGAGCTTTATCAAACCGTGCGCATGGATGGTTATTTCATTGTAGCTATTTCAAGAACAGACCTCTGGAGCCAGGGTAGCTACTGGTTAACTCATTAATCATAATGACTATCACCGGCCTGGATCTTGAGCTCCAGTCGGACTACAAGAAACATCATAGTACAGAGTCAGCACTTGTAAAAATGAAAAACAATTTCTCATTGAATATGGATGCGTAGAAGGTGACCTTGTTGGTTCTCTTAAATCTTCGCACAGCGTGTGATACTGTATGCCACAACATCTTGCTGGATCGTCTGAGGTCAAGACTCTGTGTGACTGACAAGGCAACTGTACCTCTCCAACTGTGTGCAGTGTGTTGCAGTCAGATACCTTTCCACTTTTGCAAGAGGTGCCACAAGGGTCGAGTCTTGGCCCGGTTCTGTAACTGTGTACACTGGCAAACTATTCGAGATAGTGTGCACTCTTATGCAGACTAGGCTGAGTTCACTGACTAGAAAGACTCCGACCACACCAACTAGACTGACTGCATCAACAGTACTAACTGCACCTACTAACTACAGTGATTACAGCGGCTTAGCCCCCTCCATTTTAAATATATTTATTACAAATTTGTGCTACTTGGTAACCTTGGCTGCCAAACCCACTCAGTGATTACCTCTTGCCTTTGCCCAAAATTCATGTGGTCATTTGGTGAACGTCTGGGAAAAAATGTGAAATCTTTAAGTTAATATTGTAAAACTATACTGCTTTTGCTTAAAATGACACACTAAAACTAAAATTCCTTTTATTCAAATTTAGTGAATAGTCATGAAAAAACAACAACAAATTAGTAAACTGGGCAGAGGTGTTCAAAACTGGGTTAAGGTAACCCTGGGGTAGTGTGAAATTGGAATTCAGATATCAAAGCTTATAAAGCAAATTCTGTTTAATTCTTTTTGCATATAATTTAATTGGATGCTCCCAAAAGAATAGAGAAAATTGTCCCGGAAAATGCTTTTAAATGAAAGAAAAAGAAACCTGGATAAAAATTTAACTCTAGGTTAGTGCTAATCGGCCTTCGAACAACTGGGCCCTGATGATATGTTGGTTACAAATTTCATTTGTGTTGAAAACTGGTTACTTTGTTCTTGACGTTTTCGTGGAAAACATCTTTAACTCGAAGATCAGAGTCGTGGTAGTGAAATATTCCTTGTTGCTTAAGTGACCCATCTTTTAATTGGTTTATATTTTCAATCAAGGTCTTGTCAAATTTGTGGGGCACTGGCACCCAGCTGTAGGCAAATGTCTTTTAATCAAATTCACAAAAAATCTTGAAAGCAAAATAGGCTTTGTATTAGCAATTGTAAAGCAAGTTCAACTTCTTTTAAAAATAAATAAACTGATGAAAAGGAAAAAAGAGGCATTAGGTGATCAGTCGGGGTTGGCTTTTAACCTATTAATTAAGCATTTTAGTTTTTTGCTTGGAAAATAGTTTTCGTGTATGGTAATCATAGATCACATGCCTAAATCCAACTCCCACTTATCTAAAAATTAAAAATAAAAATTAATGCAGTACACTATGAAATTTCAGGGTGACAAATACATCTGTTAAGACTAAAATATTCCTTTAGTTCCATCCTTGTAACTCCAATTAAATCAGTGACGATATACATGCAAGGAAAGAAAAAAAAAAGAAACGACCATTTGGTGGTCACTTTGCATATTTTATGAGTGACACATATAAACAACATCTTACTAATAAATTGCATGGTTTTTATCCAGCTAGCTGTCATACAGTGTCGTGGAACTTTTTGGTCATAAGAGGATTGTGTGTATTGGATGGGGTGAGTTTTATTCTTTATTTATTTATTTATTTATTTATTCAGGTCCCACTGTGGGGTGATAAGTTAGGACAATTTTCCCTTGCTTTTGCATAGATTTTTCATATTACTTAAGCTGAAAAATTCAACAAAAGAACTAAGCAATTTCCAAAAATGGAATGACTACCCAAACACTCAAAAATACATTTGCATTAGCCAAGAAAAAACAACAGCACAAGTGACCAGATGGAGAAAAATCCCAGCACATTATATTTCATACACAGAAAAACAAGTGGATAGAGCTTCATGCATACACGTGATAACTGGCAACACTTGCGTGGCTTAGTGATTAAGTTCTCTCTTTTTAAATTAAACACATAGTGGTCGCTTACCTCCTGCCGCCGTTTAATTTTGTTTGGGTGAGTTGTGGAGGTGGTTAAGCTCCCGGTTGAACCTCTGTTGTCGGGCTGTTTTGCTTTATTTTTCTTCAAGTTCTCCGAAAAAATTTTGACTTGAATTTTGTTTGCTTTTTTTTCCTTCTTTTTAATCAGGAAGAGAGTTCCTAATTCAGACTCTTTTTCTGGTTAAAAAAGAAGAAAGAAAAAGACGAAAAAAAATTTAAGTCAAAATTAATCTGAGAATTTGAAGAAAAAAAAAGTAAAATGGCCCGACAACGGGGGTTCAACCGGGGGCTGAACCCCCTTCATAAGTCACTCAAATTAAATTAAACGGCGGCAGGGGGGGGGAGCGGCCGCCATGTGTTTAATTTAATGAAAGTGAGCTTATCCACTAGGCCACGCAAGCGTTGCCTGAGAAAGTGAGGCAAAATTAACCTAGAAGTAGGTACAGGCTCTATTGTTCTCAGTGAATCACGCCGTTTAGTCATAATTTATTCAAATCCCATGCCGAATGTTTTGTTATTTGTAATTCAAAGTTCAAACTCCAAAAATAATAATCTTGAATATTCGCAACTTAAATTGAATCGAAAGGCAGTTTTTTTGTCATAACTTCAAGTAGAATAAGTTGTAAACTAGTTTCTTGTAGTACCCCAAAACGTGTCGATGAACAACTCCTGTGTCAGTAGTTTTATTTCGAATGTTGTTCATTAGTTATAATTTATTGATATCCCGTGCAGAATGTGAGCTGGAACACTACTTAATATTCAAAAACGACTTGTCCGTCTATTTATTCAGATCAAGTTTTAACTTTTGTTGCCGCGTTAAACGTTCTTTGGAATAATGTTTTCGTTTGTCTCGTCTTTTCAGTTTCAAAGCTCTGAAGATTGAAGTAAAGGACGACTAGAAATGGTTCTAAGAAGACTGCGGCTGTTGTAGAGACAAGAAGTCCAATATTATTCTATTAAATTATCAGTAAAGTTTATTTGAATATCTTGAGTGCTTATTTTGACTGAGTAGTACAGAAGAAAAATTCTGAAAGACTAGTATCTACTATTTGAATGCGAAGAAAAATTTTTGACTAAGTCTGAAGAGTAGTATGTATACTAGTATATAAGAGTGAAGAAAAATTTTGACCAAGTCTGAAGACTAGTAAGTATACTACTATTTGAAAGTAAAGAAAAATTTTTGACCAAGTCTGAAGACTAGTATGTATACTACTATTTGAAAGTAAAGAAAAATTTTGACTAAGTCTGAAGACTAGTAAGTATACTACTATTTGAAAGTAAAGAAAAATTTTGACTAAGTCTGAAGACTAGTATGTATCTAGTATAAGAGTGAAGAAAAATTTTGACCAAGTCTGAAGACTAGTAAGTATACTACTATTTGAAAGTGAAGAAAAATTTTTGACCAAGTCTGAAGACTAGTATGTATACTACTATTTGAAAGTAAAGAAAAATTTTGACTAAGTCTGAAGACTAGTATGTATCTAGTATATAAGAGTGAAGAAAAATTTTGACTAAGTCTGAAGACTAGTATGTATCTAGTATATAAGAGTGAAGAAAAATTTTGACTAAGTCTTAAGACTAGTATGTATACTACTATTTGAAAGTAAAGAAAAATTTTGACTCAATCTGAAGACTAGTATGCTACTGTGTAAGAGTGAAGAGACTATGTAAAAGAGTGAAGAAAACGTTTTGAGTCTACAAGAAAGTATTTAAAGGACTAGTTGAAAATAGAAACTAGTATTTGAATACTGTATGAAAGTAGAGAAGTTAGTGAATCTTTTTTTAAAAAAATAACTTCACTACTTTCAAACCGCATTCAAATACTAGTTTCTATTTTAAGTAGTCGTTCAAATACTTACTTGCTTATCGTTGACTCTTAGAACAACAAAAATAAACTTTATTTCTTTTACAATCCTTGATTGAAAAAAATCTTGTTTCTTCTTGTAAACTTCGAGTTGATCACTAAAAGAAGAGAGAGAATTCATGTCAAATTTCAGTTGTAATGTGTGACAAGGCGATAAACATTCTTCACGGGATGTGAATAAATCATGACTTATCTACGTTATTCTATGAGAACAATAGAGCCTGTATCTACTTCTACCTGTAGGTTAATTTTGCGTCTCTTTCTCAGGCAACGTTAGCGGATTAGTTCGCTCTCTTTAAATTAAACACATGGCGGCCGCTCCCCCCTGCAGCCGTTTAATTTAATTTGGGTGACTTATGAAAGGGGTTCAGGCCCCGGTTGAACCCCCGTTGTCGGGCCATTTTACTCTTTTTTCCTTCAAAATCTTAGATTAATTTTGACTGAAATTTTCTTTGCTGTTTTTCCTTTCTTTTTTTAACCACGAAAAGAATCTAAATTTTAGAAACTCTCTTGCTCGTTAAAAAGAAGAAAAAAAAGGCAAAAATACATTCAGGTCAAAATTTTTCTAAGAACTTCAAGAAAAACAAAGCAAAACAGCCCGACAGCAGAGGTTCAACCTGGAACAAAATCACCTCCACAAGTCACACAAATTAACTTAAACGGCGGCAGGGAAGAAGCGGCCGTCATGTGTCTAATTCAAAGAAAGAAAACTAATCCACTGGTCACACAAGTGTTGCAATTGCTTAATATCAGTTTCAAATTCAGAGACTCACTTACATTTGGTGTGTTGAGTTATGTCCATCCCAACTCTCATTCTTTGTACATTTAGGACACCTGAAGGGAAAAAGAAACAGTTGTACTTTCTTTCTGACTCATACTCTATACGTTCTTCATTTAAACTATCAAAGAAGAAATATTTTTGNCAACAAAAATAAACTTTATTTCTTTTACAATCCTTGATTGAAAAAAATCTTGTTTCTTCTTGTAAACTTCGAGTTGATCACTAAAAGAAGAGAGAGAATTCATGTCAAATTTCAGTTGTAATGTGTGACAAGGCGATAAACATTCTTCACGGGATGTGAATAAATCATGACTTATCTACGTTATTCTATGAGAACAATAGAGCCTGTATCTACTTCTACCTGTAGGTTAATTTTGCGTCTCTTTCTCAGGCAACGTTAGCGGATTAGTTCGCTCTCTTTAAATTAAACACATGGCGGCCGCTCCCCCCTGCCGCCGTTTAATTTAATTTGGGTGACTTATGAAAGGGGTTCAGGCCCCGGTTGAACCCTCGTTGTCGGGCCATTTTACTCTTTTTTCCTTCAAAATCTTAGATTAATTTTGACTGAAATTTTTTTCGCTGTTTTTCCTTTCTTTTTTAACCACGAAAAGAATCTAAATTTTTGAAACTCTCTTGCTGGTTAAAAAGAAGAAAAAAAAGGCAAAAATACATTCAGGTCAAAATTTTTCTAAGAACTTGAAGAAAAACAAAGCAAAACAGCCCGACAGCAGAGGTTCAACCGGGAACAAAATCACCTCCACAAGTCACACAAATTAACTTAAACGGCGCCAGGGAAGAAGCGGCCGTCATGTGTCTAATTCAAAGAAAGAAAACTAATCCACTGGTCACACAAGTGTTGCAATTGCTTAATATCAGTTTCAAATTAAGAGACTGACTTACATTTGGTGTGTTGGGTTATGTCCATCCCAACTCTCATTCTTTGTACATTTAGGACACCTGAAGGGAAAAAGAAACAGTTGTACTTTCTTTCTGACTCATACTCTATACGTTCTTCATTTAAACTATCAAAGAAGAAATATTTTTGAATAATTACAAGTCACAACAACTATTTCACCCTATAGTGATTGTTATTACCTTTTTTGAAGGTCTTATATTGTGAATACTTGTTAATTGATATATTCTCAGCATGACATCTGTCAGAAGAGAGAGAGAGAGATCAGTGTTTAAACGTCTTTGGTTATCATAAGTATTTACTGAAAGAACATCAAACACATGATCTGTGACAAGGGGGGTTAATTACTCACTTAAAAAACTGACTCTAGTGAATAAAAAGGTGGATCATAAACCTATCCATTGAAAAAATTGTTGTCAAGTAGATAACCAAATACATTTGTAGTGAAAAGTGAATGCTAAGCACTCTATCTCTGGCAAACCGTGGCCAAAAGTATACGAGAATAAAGTAAATGGATGTGCAATAAAACCATCAGACCAAACATGTCTTCTAAGCTTATTTCGCACAAAAACTAGAAATGAAAAATTTTAGAATTTTTGACCAAAATCATGGACTAACCCCTCAGGAAACATTTAATTTGGTGGCTAGACAACACTGATATTTTTACAGTCTGGAGAGGCTTGTTTTCTATCTAGAACATCACCAAACATCTCTTCCTAGCCTTTTTCCAGACAAAAATAAGAAATGAAAAATTTTAACATTTTTGACCAAAATCATGGACTAACTCCTCAGGAAACATCCAATTTGACGGCTGGATGAAATTGATATTTTCATAGTTTAAGAAAGGCATGTTTTCCATCTATCTAGAACATCACCAAACATCTTCTCTAAGTTTTTTTTCGCATAAAAACAAGAAATGAAAAATTTTAAAACACCATGGACAAACCCCTAAGAAAACACCACATTTGACAGCCAGGTAAAATTGATATTTTTGTAGTCTAGAAAGGATGTTTTCTCTCCATCTAGAACATCACCAAATATCTTTTCTAAGCATTTTTTCGCACAAAAACAAGAAAAAAATTAAAAATTTTTGAAAAAATTAGTGACGAAACCCTTAGGAAACATCAAATTGGCAGCCAGGTAAAATTGATATTTTCATTTCCTAGAAAGGCTTGTTTTCGAAGCTTTTTTCGCACAAAAACAAAAATGAAAAATTTAACATTTTTGACCAAAATCATGGACTAACCCCCCAGGAAACATCCAGTTTGGTGGCTAGACAACACTGATATCTTTATAGTCTGGAGACGTTTGTTTTCTATCTAGAACATCACCACACATCTTTCTACGCTTTTTTCCCACAAAAACAAGAAATGAAAAATTTTAACATTTTTGACTAAAATCATAGATTAACCCGTTAGGAAACATTCAATTTGGCAGCTAGGTAAAACATATACTTTCATAGTCTAGAAACGCTTCTTTTTTATCTAAGAACAATCCCTAAAACATGTATTCTCAGCTTATTTCGCACAAACAAAAAAAGAAATAAATAATTTTAACATTTTTGACCAAAATCATGGACTAGGTAAAGTGGATACATTAAATTTTATAGTCTACAAAGACTTGTTTTCTGTCCAGAACATCACCAAACATCTTTTCTAACTTTTTTTCGCTCAAAAACAAGAAATGAAAAATTTTTTGAAATAATGGACAAAAATCATGGAAACATCCAAATTGGCGGCTAGGTAAAGTTGATATTTTTATAGCCTAGAACATAACCGAACATCATTTCTAAGTGTTTTTCGCAGAAAAACAAACTAAGAAAAATTTTGCTATTGGCCAAAATCATGGACTAACACCTTCGACGAAATCCAATTTAGCGACTTTGTAAAATCACTATTTTAAGTCTTAGAAAGGCATGTTTTGTATCTATTTAGAACATCACCAAATATCATTTCTACGCTTTTTTCGCACAAAACACAAAAAAAATGAAAAATTCTTCAGATTTTGATCAAACTTAGGAAACATCTAGTTTGGACAACTTTTTAAAATCAATACTTTAAGGAAATTTACACCCCATAATGCAGTAAACATTTTTAAATTTGACTGGATAAGGAAGAGGTATAAATGTGTCAATTTAACATAAACAACTGATTCAGCTTGCTTGCCACATTGCAAACAAGTGGTGATGACAGTTTCAGTGTTCAGTTTGTCAGCAAGAACCTTACCTCTTCAAATATCATGAAAAATATGATAACACCAATCACTGGCGGCTTGCAAGTTTGTTTAAACAAGGCTCAAATGAAAAGATCATGAAACTAAACATATTGTTAAAATTGATAGCATTCGAAAATTTACAAGTTGCCTACTTTTAATATGCTCTTTCATTTTCTGCTAACAAAATTTTCCAAAAGCAAACTATTTTCATGTTTACAGTAAGTTGATCATGTGACCAACTATTACAAAAGGCCTATTGATAATCACTATGATCATTCTCGGAATCAATAAAGAACCCATTCAATCTACTTTGTTTAAAAATAAAACACAGGAGTCTAACCTTTGAGCTGGTTCCTCTATTTCCTCCTTGTGACTTGATCCTGAGTGATGGTTCCTTGGTTTCTCTTTCCTAATTTCCTTCACATGTCATCCTTGATACAATCTTCCATCAAAGCATCATCACTGTTCCTCTTTCTGCAAAGAAATAGTTCTTAGGTTTGACTATTGATCATTCAGACTATTGCAATGGTGGTTAAGTGTAACCACTCTAAAAAAGTAAGCCATTAATATTGGACCATGTCATGTGTTGTTTGTCATATCTGCTGGTTTTGCTCAGGCAGTGCTATAATGTCATTGATCCTCTGCTCTTGGTTAAGCCACAGTATTATTACCTCTGAAGAAACAAAACAACGCGACGTGTGTTGCAATTTGTCATGATTGTTGGTTTCTCCCAGTTAAGCCGTAATGTTAATGGCTTCACACATCTATAGTTTTTGTTTCATTGGTCTAAATTGTGCATAATATTGATATTGAAATCCATGCCATCTCTTGGTTAAGCTGCCCCAGTTATTGCATGTGAAGACACTAAACATTGGTGGTCCATTTCAGTCCATCTCAAGTACTGTTCACCATACATCCTCCAGTTTTCTTGAGACAGTTTAAGTTGCAATGCCGTTAGTCATTGACTGCATGTTTAACCCATAATTTCTGTTACTGCTTACTAAGACCCTTAACACATAAATGGTGTGTTTTGATCTGTCTTATGTATTGTTTGTCAGATAAATCAGTTTATTTCCCTTAGTTTATGATGTCACTGTCTGTCACTATTTGACTCTTTGTGTTCATATCCTGACTAAAAATTGGGATTGCACTCTTTTGGTCAGGTGTGATTTATAATGGAATTATTAATTAGGCACCCATTTAGACAATCTTCAATCAACTTTTTTATGAAACAAAGGATTCTAACTTCTAATCTTGCTACCTCTTATTTGAACTGATTTCTCCATTTCCTCCTTGTGACTTTGATCTTGAGTGATAGTTCCTTGGTTGTGTGCCCCTGATTTCCTTCCCATGCCTTCCTTGACTCAGTATTCTATCAAAGATTCTTCATTGTTCATCTTTCTGCAAAGTCAAGATTGGTTTTTGTTTATTTGACTAGTCAGGGTATAGTGTATCGTTCATTGTATCTATCAGTTTGATTAAGACCGTGTATTACACTGTACATTACTTAGTTTTAAAATATAACACAGGAGTCCAACCTTTGAGCTGGTTCTCCATTTCCTCCTTGTGACTTGATCCTGAGTGATGGTTCCTTGGTTTCTCTTTCCTAATTTCCTTCACATGCCTTCCTTGATACAATCTTCCATAAAAGCATCATCACTGTTCATCTTTCTGCGAGGAAATAGTTCTTAGGTTTGATTATTGATCATTCAGACAATTGCAATTGGTGGTTAAATGTAACCATGCACTCTAAAAAAGTAAGACACTGATACTGAACCATGTCATGTGTTCTTTGTCATATCTGCTGGTTTTGCTCAGACAGTGCTGCAATGTCATTGGTCCTTAGCCTGTGAACAGGCTCTCTGTTTGGGGAAAGGGTGAAAAAATAGCAAGGAGAGGGAAAGAGGGAGAGCCTGTGGACAAACATTTGGGACCGCCATTCCACAGCACTTGCTGTGCAACAGATCCTGATGCAGCTGTGCACCAGATTCAGATACAAGCCCCTGTTGGCGAGAACACTGACTGTTGACAGGTTTGATTTACATTGCCCTTTTTGATCGGCACATAGCATGCGATTTGAATAAACGTTTGTAAACAGGTCCTCTGATCTTTAAGATGGCGTCTTCTGGGGCTTGACTGATGAGCTTATTTAGCCGCAATGAGCTCTTTTGAAATGTAAAAGCCCTTCATTGCGGCTAAATATCACCCTTTCCCCAAACAGAGAACCTGTTGCCCACCGACCCCCTTTTTACAAGCAAAATTGATTACATTCCAGTGTATTCAAGTGACAGATAACGATCTTGCTGACAGATGATTGCCAATGACATCAAGAGGGCAAAATGTTTGTCTACAGGCTCTCCCCCTTTTCCTTTCCTCTCCTCATGAGTTTTTCACCCTTTCCTCAAATAGAGGGCCTGTTCACAGGCTAATTTATTGGTCCTCTGCTGTTGGTTAAGCCACAGTGTTATTGTTTGAATAATTAAACTATGGGAGGTGTGTTTCAATTTCTCATGTTGGTTTCTCCCAGTTAAACTGAAAGGTTAATGGCTTCATACATCTGCAGTTTTTGTTTCATTAATCTAAATGTGCATAATATTGATATTGAAATCCATGCAATCTCCTGGTTAAGCTGTAATGTCATTCCAAGTGAAGACACTGAACATAAGTGGCACGTTTAAATCCATCTCAAGTAATGTTCATCAGTTTAAGTTCCAATGCCATAAGTCATTGATTGTTTAACCCATAATTTTCAATATTGTTTACTAAGACTCTTAACAAACATGAATGGTCTGTTTTCATCTCTTTCTCATGTATTTTTTGTCAGATTGGTCAGTTTAATCCACTCAGTCTTTGATGTCACTGTTTGTCTGTCTCTATTTGACTCTTTGTGTTCACATGCTGCCTAAAAATTGGAGTTGCACTCTACCTTAGCTTGGTCAGGTGTGAATAATAACCCCAGATAATCATTCGCAGAATTAATTAGGCAATTCATTTAAACAATCTTCAATCAACTTTTTTCATGAAACAAAAGATTC